AAAATAGGTTGTATTTATAATTTTATTTATTAAGTTCTTTTATTTCTTGCTCAATAGAATCCACTTCTATTTGAGCAGATTCCATTAAACGTATCTTTTTTTCTCTTAATTGTTGTAATTGATCCATAATATGTTTCTTCTTTGAAAGTTTTTCTTTGTGTTCACTATCAGCTTTTTTTTTCAATTTTAATGCTTCCTCGTAGTGTTGTCTGGCATTTCTTACGTTCAATATAAGTTTTTTAGAGATGTCTATGTTACTTATACCACCAACCTTATTAATAGCCGACCATACATGACGTTGAGCTATAAGTGATTCTTCTTGTAAGTTTACTATCAGACACTCTTTATTTACAGAAAATCCACGTTCAACAGAAGCATTACCATGTGAAAATATCAGAACTTTTTTTAAAACATTCATCATTGCAGATGATAGGTTGAAAACAATGGCAATATTTGTCCAAAAACTGTCAAGTCTTACTTCATACCGTGAAAATTGTTTTGCTCTTTCTATAAAACTTTTATTTGAGCACAAAATAGTAAATTCTCTTTCAAGTTTATCACCTACTATGCCACTAACCCAATGATTTTCCACAAATATTTCCAAGCAAGTTTTAAATCTATAATTTGCCACTTTTACAGATGCAACAATTATGCTTGGATCACAAAATGATATACCTTTTACCATCTTATACTTAATAGGTGATTTTAATAATAACTTCAAACAAATTGTTTGTAAAATTAATTGACAATCGGTTCTGAAAATTAACATATCTTTGTCAGTAAATTTATCAATAGAGCGAATAGCTTCTCTTGTACTGAATCCAAGGTTTATTTTTTTTGCACCAATTAATTTACTTTTATCCAAAACATCAATTTCTGTAAGTTTTTCTTTTTCCATTATTTCTGGTTTTACAAAGCTGCTCATCATAAACTGTAAAATGTTTTGTAAATCGGTGTAAAGATAGGGACCAAGAGGTTCATCGCTTTGGAATTGTTTCAAAAAAGGTTCAAGTTGACCGGCTATAGTCTTAAAATATGCCAATTTGGGTTTTATAAATGGATCATTTAATCCTTTTACCATTTTACTGTAACTGTATGATGTTGGCTCTCTGTTTGTATTTTTTACACCTTCATTACACCTACATATTTATAATAATATATTATATGCTGCTGATAATATGAGTGCAGTGACGTGGCGAAATTAACATTTTCCAGAGGCAAGTTACAAACATCCCAAGTAATAATGCATAATAATGTATTAAAATAATAAGACTAATTATATTTCAGATCATTATTGACAACCTAATGAGTTTATCAAATTGCATTTACTAGGGGACCCACTGGCTACCACCCACCCCTCTATTTAAGAAAAATCTCAGAGGCAATTGCCTCTGAAATTACTGTTCACCACGCCACTGTATGAGTGATAGGTACTAATCTTGAAGAAACATTTACATGATTGAATTGATACATAATAATTTTAATTAATGTTAAATAATAAAACTTTAATTTCTGAAATGTGATCATTTTGGTAATTGTTTTAAATTTAAATATACTTGTAATTATAGTTAATAATTATAAATATTAAATATTGTTAGTTAAGAAATAATAAGGTATAAAAACAATTTATTATTGTTTAAACAACCTATAGGTATGTACATATATTTACCTTCTATATTATACTAAATATTAATTTTATTTCAACTTTGCAAATAATTTGAATTTAGTTGTCAATACCCTCAAAGCTTAACTAATATTTATAAATAGCCAAAGTTTTATAAAAAATATATGTATTATTAATAATTTTGTACCTAATTGACAACTAAAAATTTTAAAATTTGACAAAATATAGTTTTTAAGTTATTTTTACAATACTGGTGATAATAGTATTTATATGATGTTTATAAGTTATTACATTTAATATGAATCGGTTTGCTAATCATTTTAATAAGTAATTGGAAATTTTTACTATTGATTCCCCAAAGTAAAAATTTCTAATTTGTTAACAAAAACCTCCATCAAAATCAATGATTTGAGCCTTTTTTTTTTACTTAAAACTTGTGTTATGAAGTTTTATATAAATTTCAATGATTTTAATCATTGCACTGAAACAATCTAAAAAGTGATAATAATGAGTATTAAGTAATTTGCTTAAATAGTGAGCTACAATAAAAATAGTGAGAAAGGCAAGTGAGTGAAAAGTCTGTATATCTATTAAGACATGATCGGAAAAGTTCATTACCAAAATTGTATAAATAAAAAATTGGTTAACTTTTATAAATTACTAATAATAACTATGTAGATAGTTATTATGTATGGATAATTAAATTGATTAAAATTGCATTAAAAATATTTACCAAATATCACGGAGCAAGTTTGGAGTGTAGAAAAATTTTCTTTTCCTTTGAGTCCTATGTAGGAGTAGTTAGTTAGACAATTATCAGTGAATAATGTTTGCATAATTTTTCTTATAGTTTCAGACAAATTCTGTCCTCTGTAACGAGCTAGTTCTTTAATCTACATACAAAATAAAATTCAGTAATTATAATCTTATATAATTTGAAAGTAATTTAATTTGCTATTAATACCAATTTTTTTTTAAATGTTGTATCGTTTAATAATTTGTCCTCAAGATCATTTAAATCAGTCGCAGTATCCACACGAGTTATAGTGTTATCAAATGAATCTTCGGTAATATCGGCAGATACACATCCTTGTAATCTTTCATTAATTTTTTCTTGCATACACATAATAATATCAAGACGATCTTGTATATTTTTTACTTCATGTTTGAGAACAATATGTTGTCTGCTAACCAATTTTTCAAAGTCTGGAAAAAATAAATACATTAAAATGTAATTAAAAATTTCTGATATATTTGTATTTTTTAAAACTTTGAATGTACCTATATATAATATACATTTATACATTCAAAGTAGGTACAGTAAAACCTGTCTATAAAGGAATCGCTTGGGCTGACAAATTTTTCCGTTATAGGGAGACTAAAATATAAGTTATTCAAGGACTTTGTTATTTTCCTTTAGGGAGATTTCCGTCTTATGGGGTGTCCGTTTTAAGGAAGTTTTACTGTACCTACTAAGATACAATTAAAACCATCTTGGAGATGGAGATTATAAATATAAAATTTAAAATACTAGGTATATTGTTTCACTTTCAATATCTGTATAAGATTATATATATTGAAACAATATAATATTTAATAATTATATATTACTTGCTGATCCCGTACACTTCGTTGCCCGTTAAAAATACCAACGCTATTTTATAAATAATATGTTTTTCTTATAATATAACGGTTACCATAACAACAATTTTAAACCAATAATTATTATTATTATAGCTTCAAAACCCATGGTAACCATTTATAAACAAAAATGTCCATAATAGGAAGTATCAAAATCCCTGTTTGAGCACCTACCGTGGTTGGTCCTCTCAATTTTTATATTAGCCTATCTTCTAAACAGAGGTCTGAGAAATATCTGATCCCGTGCACTTCGTTGCCCATTAAAATTGCCAACTCTATTTGTATTTATATACAAAACATTCCATCGAAAATTACAAAATAATATATAACTGGTTACCATGGAAATATGGACACACACACCAACGGAAATCTCAAAATAATATATATATGGTTGCCATGGTAATATGGAGACACACACACACACACACATACATTCATTTTTATATATATAGATGAAATCTTAATAATGGATTTTTTTCTTACCATCACAACTCAAACTAAATAAAGGTGGACTTGGTGGTTTAGAATTGTTTAAATAACGTTTTTGCTATGTGGATGTGTGATTTTTCTTTTCAATTATATTTTTATGGTCTGTCGATAAATCTGATGTTACTTGTGTTTTTCTAGATTTTAATCAAGCTACTTCAATTTTAGCTAAAATTAAATTATAAAAAAATATTAATTAATGTAAATCCATAGAATTATTAAATTATACATAATTATATTACCTATACGGCTATACTTACCAATATCTTGACTCATTATACATGCATTATAATAAATAAATGCATCTGGGTTTTCAGCCGGGTCTACTCTTTTTTCAATGTAGCTACGCACGTTAGCTCTTTTTTTTGGCCAAGCACAAACTCCTTTGTCCATCAAAAAGTTTGGAATGAAATCTACCAAGTCGTCAATTTCAAAGCAAACAACACTCCACATATTACTGAAATGAATTGCTTTATTACAACATAATATATAATCATACAAAAAACATAGGTATGTTTGTATAGAAAGAGAGACAGGAAAACATATTCATACATAAATGTAGATATTTAAAATGTTATATTTTAGTGAAAGTACTAATTGTAAATATTATATAGGTAGACAAATCATAACTCTATTTGTTTTATCTAGGTACAAACTACCTATAAAAATTTAAAAATTTGATGAACTAACAGATTTTTTAAAACAGTATCATATTAATTATATTATTATATAAAAATTATACCTATACAGACTATAGATAAAGGTTGATGTACCTAGGTACCTGCATACATAATTAATTATATTAAATAATAATAAATATTAAAATTAAAATAATAAGTTATAGATAGGTAGATACTATATTATATGTATACTAAATAATTAAATTAAAAACTTAAAAAAAAAAAGGTAGGTAATAGGTAAGGTACTTGTAATAATAATAATTATTATTATTATGTAGATACATCAATACATGTATCAACACATACATCAATGCATCATAATTAAATCAACGTATTGACTTAATTATGATGAAATATAGGTACCGCAGTAAGTTTGTCATTCAAATCAAATACAAGCATTTTATTTTTAATATCTGAAATATTCCACTGTTTTAAATGTTCTGATAATTTGTTTATAACAAATATATTTAATATAGATGACTTTAGAGGTTTAATAAAAAGATCTTCTTTTTCTTCAAATATTTTACCAATAAAAACTGTAGTTTTATCAGAGGATTTTTTTAATTCAGTTATTTGTACAATTTCATTAGAGTTGGTGAGAACAAAACAATCGG